CAAAATTTTGAAAATTATCAACTTGCTAGGGATAGAAGTAGAAGGAATATTAGACAGCCCCCTAGGTTTAATGATTTTGATATTGCTCAATTTTCTTATAATGTGCTTGAGTCATTAGATGAAAATGAACCAAAGTCATATAATGAGGCAATGAAATCAAAACATAGAGAGGAATGGGTTAAGGCAATGAATGAAGAGATTAAGTCTTTAAGGGACAATAACACGTGAGAGTTAGTTCCTAGGTTGCCTAACAGGTCTATAGTTGATTAAATGGCTTTACAAGGTAAAACAAGATGAAAATAAAGTTAGGTTTAAGGCAAGATTAGTTGCAAAATGTTATACTCAAAATGAGGGGATAAATTACAATGAGATTTTTGTTCTTGTTGTTAAATATACCACTATATGTTTCATGTTTGCTTTGGTTGCTTATTTTAATTGGGAGTTGAAACAATTAGATGTAAAAACAACATTTTTTACATGGTGATTTGTATGAAAATGAAACAATCGGAGGGCTATCTTGATAAAAATAAAACAAATCATGTTTGTCTTTTAAAGAAATCACTCTATGGGTTTAAACAATCTCCTAGACAATGAAATCTTAAATTTGATGAATGTATGAAATCCTTTGAATTCACTAGAAGTAAATTTGACCATTGTTTGTATTTTAAAATAGCATGTAAGCATCCGGTTTTCTTGCTGCTATATATTGATGATATGTTGTTAATGGGTCATAGTTTGGAAACAATAAATCATGTGAAAGATTGTTTAAGCAAGAAATTTGATATGAAATATTTAGGGGATGCAAAAGTAATACTTTGCATGAATATAGTGAGGAATAGGAAAGAAAACTTGCTGTTTTTAAACCAGTCCACTTATATTAGAAAAATTCTGCAAAAAATTTCCATGTGTGATGCAAAACTCTCTTTTGTCCATCTCGCATCTAACTTCATTTTGTCAAAAGAGCAATGCCCTAAATCTAAAAATGATGTGATTTATATGAAGAATGTTCCTTACTCTAATGCCATAGGCTCTATCATGGATTTGATGGTGTGTACTAGACCTGATTTAGCGTATGTTATTAGTTGTTTGAGTCGATATATGGCTAACCCGGGTGTTGAACATTGGAATGCTCTTAAGTGTGTTTTTAGGTATTTGGTGGGTACTTTAGACATAGGCTTGGTGTTTGGTAGAAATGCACATGATATTAACTTGATTGGTTATGTTGATTCAAATTATGCGAACGATAGGGACACTAGGAAGTCTACTACATCTTACTTGTTTACTTTATGTGGTTCTTGCATTAGTTGGAAGTCGCAATTACAACATATTGTGGCTCTTTCTACGATGGGGTCGGAATATGTTGCAATTACCGAAGCCTTAAAAGAAGCATTGTGGCTAAAAGGACTTTTAAATGAACTAAAATACTTGAACAATGAAGTAACAGTGTTTTCGGATAGTCAATCAGGGATTCAACTTTGTAAAAATCCAGTTTTTCATGATCGCACCAAACACATAGATTTTAGATTTCATTTTATTCGAGATGTCGTGTCTAAAGGTCTTTTAAAACTTAAGAAAATTCCTTCCGAATACAACCCTGCGGACTTGGGAAAAAATGTTTTTTCGGTAAAAAAATTCAACTTGTGTAAGAAAACAGTGTATATTGATACTTTTGATTAGAAATTTGTATATTTTTTAAAAAATGTAAAAGCTGTAGCCTAACTTAAAATTATGTGTTTAAAGTTGCTAAATATTTTCTTTTTCTTTTCTTTTGTATATTTGTTACTGCTGTAAACGTTTTTTTGTTGATTAAAATTTGTGAATACTAATCACGTTAATAAGTTCGCAGGTTAAAAGACTGAAATCATTGGATACTCAGACAGTGATGACACCCATGTTTGGTACAGTCTCCAGCCCAAAAATGTGGAGATTTGTAATGATTTTGGGCCTGTGACATTTTGGAGGCATGGAACACTTCAATCCGACCCACCCATCCAAAACTCGGATCCAGTACCCGCAACCCGACCCATCTATGTTGAGATGTGATGGCAGCCGTTGGATTAAGGGATTTGATCTGGGCTGTTGGATCTAATATCCAGCCTTATATATATACTGGATCTCTTCTGAACCCGGTTAGTTCATTCTTCTCTCGCGATCTGTCTCTCTCTAGAAACCTTAACCTTGCGACGACGCTCTTCGATCGATCTTCTTTGAGTGCTTTCCGGTGATCTGACCGGCGAATCTGGAGCTTCAACAGTGCGCTTCGATGTTCGACGTGTTCTAAGGCTTTCCATCGGTTTGCTTTCTCAATTCGGGTCTGTTTGATTGTTCGCGGTGTATAGTGATTGTCCGTGATGAAATTAGACCTAAAATGTTAGCGTTGCCATAGATTGTGGTTTGGTTAGCGTGATTGTGCATTTCCGTGGATGTCGTTTGTGGTGTGGATCGAGGTTGAGTGTTTGTGTTGGTTCGATTGATATATTTGGGTAAAATTGAGTCCGAGCTTCTTTGATTTCGTAATAAAGGAAGGATTCTTCAGGTTTTGTTAAATTTAAGAAAGATTATGTGTGAATAACAAGTGTTTGATTCGTATATTTTCATAACATTTTTTATATTATTAATAATAATATATTTTTTATTAATATTAATATATTTTTATTTTAAATTTATCTACTGTGCCATCGTAAAAATCATTTCTAAATTAGACTATTAGAAAGTTGCGTGGAAATGAATTATGGTAGAAAAATATAATTTATAAAAAATATGGAAATGAATTATGGTAGAAAAATATAATTTATAAAAAATAAATTTTTTTATCTTATTCAACTATATTGAATTAAATTAAAACAACTAAAATATAAAGATAAAACTGTTCAAAATTAATATCTGCGTTTGAATACAATTGATTACGAAGAAACAGAGGATAAATACGTTTTAAGAATTCAATTAATTAATGAGAGAGACAAAACGGTTTATTCGCAAAAATTCAATGCCCATCCGGTGTTTGACTGGATTTGAATTTTAAGTTGATATTTAAATAGTAAAAATTTTGAATTTGAATAATTATATGATTTGATATAAATAGGTATTGATGTGATATTTTGAATGTAAAATTAATTTTTAGTATAATATAAAAAATAAAAAATAAATATTTGATTTGATGTTTTTGAAAGAAAAAAATGGAATGAATAGTGTATTTAAAATCCAATCCTCAAACAAACACACCCTTAATTAATTCCGTTCTAAATTTCGCTAATAATTTTGTTCAAACAAACATCAGAATAGTTACGGCCCACATTTTGAAAAATTAGCAATATACAATAAAATATACAAATAATACAGGTCTTTATTATACACAATACATACTATATTAATAGAAATATGTGTTATTTGTTTATAATTATAAGTGCACTATATAAAAGTATATCATGTATTAAAATCAATTGTTGTGTGAGCTGTATAAAATTATAACATTTGTTGTATAAAAAGGGCGGATCCACCTTTGATGGAACGATGACACATGACACAAGTGATTTATTATATTAAAAAAAATTATAATTTAATAAATGTACTACTCACTTAAAATTTAAAATTACATCATTATTAAAAAAATTTGGTGAATTATTTAAAATTTAAATTTTAAAATATCATCAATACTTTAATAATTTAAATTCAATTCAATGAAATAATTAATTTATATTTTAAAACATAAATATACAAAACAATATTATAGTATTACTGATTAATAAATCGAGTCTTATAATTTATTTTATTTTTAAGTTTATATATTTGCAACTGGTAAAAATATTTTTTGGATCCACCACTGGTTGTATTTGTATATTAATATATTTGTATTATATTAATAATATACTATGTGTTGTCTATAATAATATTGTCTTAGCACACGATGTTCTATTCAACATAGTGCTTATATACATATTTGAACTTTTTTGCATATTATCAATTTAACAGTTATTTTTCAAATTAACCTTTTTACAAAATATTATATCCGAATGTATTTTAAATTTTTTATCTTACATAAACTCATTCACAAATATAATATTTTCTTTGTCCCATGTACCGTAAAATATTTGATTTTCAATAGAGAATATAGATGAGTAATAATAAATAGAATCAATTTAAAATTAAGTAATTTGGATGATGTGATGAGATAAAATATAATTAATATTATTTTCAATATATCACGAAATATATAAGACATTAAAATAAAAATATTAAAAAATATATAAGACAAAAATAATACTATTTTTTCTTAATTTATTACATATGTGTTATGAACATTATAAATTGAACATACCAATAAAGTCACGAACATATTGATAAATATTTATATTTGAACTAAAATTAATATATTTTAATTATATTATGATTATTATTGATTTTTTCTTTTCATTTTAACTTTATAAACTATTCTAATTTTAAAATATTTTTTTAAAAAAATATATAATAAAAATAAAATTTAGACCAAAACAAAGGTACACGGTGGTCTAGAATTATATATAGCACTAAAATATACATGATCATGTAACAACATAGCCGTGTAGTTTTCAGAGCAGTTGTCATGTCACATTCGTTATGTCTACGTCAACAATTTCTGTTAGTTTTTTTAACAGTGTGGTCAAAATTGATTAAAATTGTTTATAATATAACCAAAATTGATTGCAATTGTTTATAATGAGACTAAAATTGATAAATTTTTTATATTAAGATCAAAATTAAAATTTTAAATATATGGAAACCAAAATTAATTTTTTCTTTTTCATAAATTTTAATTTAATTAATTAATTATTTAAATTTAAATTTAAAATTATTTTTATTAACATATTTTTAATTATTTATTAATTATATATTCTTAAATTCTCGTCACGGTCTTTGTCTCCGCAAGGAAACAGAGGACGAAATATTAAAAAAATTTAGATAAAAGAAGGCCAAGTGGTAACAGTAAAAACTCGAAACTGAAGAATTGAAAGATCATTTCCTTTAATAATAAGAAATCACAGAACAGAGAAGAGAAGAAACCAACACCCAAATAATTCCACCGAAGAAGACGGCCATGGCGACCATTAAAGTTCCTCAAGTCGTTCCTTCTCCCGCCGACGACTCTCGCACTCTCCACAGAGCTTTCCAGGGTACCACTCAATTCCTCATCTACATATACGTAATAATAAATTTACTACCATATCTCGGGTATGGATTGAAGTTGAACTGAAGAACGGATTCAGTCATATTATTGGTTTCAGGTGTTTGTTGTTTGGTTGTAGGTCTCGGAACCGACGAGAAGGCCATCATCCGCACGCTCGGCCGCCGGAACACCGCTCAGAGAGGCCTCATCCGCGACACTTTCCGGCAGCTTTACAACAAGTCGCTAATCGACTGTCTCCACGCCGAGTTATCCGGCGACTTTAGGGTAAATATGCGAAAACATTCCTAGTTTCACCTTCTCACTTCTAATTCACATTCCAAATTCGAAAAGCAATTTTGGTGTGCTCTAGAAAGCGGTTATCCTGTGGACCTACGATCCGGCGGAGAGAGACGCACGCCTCGCGAACCAGGCATTAACGTCCCGGCAGAAAGGTATCACCGAGTTGCAGGTGATTGTGGAGATAGCATGCGCCGCACCGCCGCATCATCTCGCCGCCGTCCGGCGAGCATACTGCACGCTGTTCGACGTCTCTCTCGAAGAGGATATCACCGCCAAGGCACCTCTCCCGGTCCAGAAGGTATAATAATAATAATAATATATCACTATATCTAGGGATTGGTTTTATTGTGTTTGAATTCCTTCCCAGTTTACCATTGTTAAAGGGAATTGCTGCGTGCAGGTGTTGGTTAGACTGGTGAGTTCCTTCAGGTTCGACAAAGAAGCTGTGGATTCATCCATCGCAGCCATGGAGGCGGTCAAGCTTCGAAAGGCCATTGAGGCGGTCAAGCTTCGAAAGGCCATTGAGGCGAAGAAGCTGGACGACGACGACGAGCTGATAAGGGTGCTCACCACAAGGAATGCCTTCCAGCTGAGGGAGACTTTCAAGCTCTACAAGATTAACTATGGAAGATCCATAGATGAGGTATGTATAAATATGAATATGATAGCCGCCATTTGTAAGTACGCACTAGTGCAGGATAAAGTTAAATTTGGGGTTGTGGGTGATTGGGACAGGACATTATGAGTTGCGGGAAAGGCATTCTTGAGTCTCTTCTCAAAGTGGTCATTTGGTGCATTGATTCCCCAGAAAAACACTTTGCTGAGGTGATTCATCCAATCCTATCCTATCCTATCCTATCCTCTGTCCTATCAAGTGTGTGTATGATTCTTTCTTGATTGATTGATGATTGATGGGTGATTCTCTCTCTATAATTTGGGGCAGGTTGTGAGGGCAGCAATTGTAGGGTTGGGGACTGATGAGGATTCGCTGACAAGGGCTATCGTGAGCAGGGCTGAAATAGACATGGTGAGGATCGGACAAGAATATTTGGAAGCAAACAAGACTAGCCTAGAAGAAGCTGTCATTGGAGACACTTCTTGGGACTACAAAGACTTCCTCATCACTTTGCTTGGAGCAGATATATAGTAACTAACTAAATCAATTACAAGAATCATCCATCATGTCTCCTCTGTAATTAGTGAGATTATTCATTATTTGATTGACCTTTGTTTTGTGTGGGATTTGAATTTGGTTTCACATGTGTGTGTATGTGTCTTTGTGTGATCAAAGAAAGACAGAAAGATATATAGATAGATAGATATGGTATGTTTGATTTCTCAGGCAACTACTAACTCTCTATAAAGACAGATTGTTGTTTAATTTAAAGAAAGAGTGGCCCATGCAATGCAATGCATGAAAACAAGTAAAAGACAAGAAGAGAATTGAGTAGTAATGTAATGTAAGACTGACCTAGTAGAGCTGCTATGTTGTCGAAGAAGATGATAGTAATGGTTCTACCGAACTGGAACTGGACTCCTCATCGTCTCCCAAATCCAGGGGACATAAACACGGAGGGGAGTATGCATCGATAGCATTTTGTAGGTTGGCTTCCAAAACGTCTGCCTTTTCATCGTAGTCATCCCTATCTCGTGCGTCCTAAGAACATGTTTGGATTGGTTTGGTTCAACAGGAAATTATTAGTAGAGTTAGAGTTAGAGTTAGATACCTTGACCGAACACTGGTTAAACGTGGGAAGGAACCGAATCTTGCAGTACTCATTGAAGAGCAATGTGAAAACCAGGAGAGGTGCGGTGCAGATAGCAGCAGAAGGCTTCAACTTCAAGCCAAACAGGCCCATCATTGTTATTTGCATGATGACAATCGATCCGAGGATGTAGTGATGAATGTAAGGCCAGTATTGACCACACGTTTCGTACGTTGTAGTGTACACATCTTGAATCTGCACAGAATATAATAGAATAGAATGAAACTTCATTGAAATCAGGAAATGAACCATATGCGAATCGACAAAAGCAAACAAACCTGGTTTATCATCACCACGTATCCTAAACAGAAATAGGCGACAAGAAATGGAAGCAGCAACGGCGAAACAACTGCATATACCATTCCTATCAAAATGCAGAGTGCAACATAAGGAATTATTCGGTAGTATGGCAACGAATAAAGATAGGGCCGTTTCCTATCTCCACGATCCCATGCGTGCGACTTAATTGCATCCCATACGAGCAACCCCGGCTGAAGAAGCTCTAGTGAAAATCCAGACAGTCCATTTGTCAAGATGTATGTCATGAAAAAATCTGCCTGAAATAAATAAAAATGCGATAAACAAAGAGCTTCCTTCCTTTAACAAACAATCTTCCTAATTCATGCCTACATGCTCTATTAAAACATAGAATGAAGATGATTGACCTGTGCAGAAGCAGCGCTGGCAAGATGTGCCGGAAACTTCTTGGGATGACTGAAGGATTCTCCAATCTGATCGAGTAATGATCCTGACAACAAGCTTAAGAAGAAAACATTCCCGACGAGGAAATAGTAGACCATATTGCATGCTTTTATATCCTTTCTACTCCTCGAGGGGTATCCGGCTAACTTTGCCATTTGTATCATGGCAAATGGAACGATGTATATAAATCCATTGAGAATGGCGCTTGGCAGATATCCTGTCACAACAGACCGAAGCCCAGGTCTACAGAACAAAAAGGCAAACTAGTGTGAGATTAGATTCATGGGAAAATCGGACAAGACATGAAAGGGGGACAGCCACGTAAGATTGGATTCCTGGTCTTACATCATCTGCACAGCCACAGCAGGAGGAAACCATTTCTTTAATCGATCGAATTTCGCAATTCCTTGAACTGCTGTTACGGGTACGGCGAAGAAGATTGTGAGTAGGGAAGCTGCAATGTAAACGCCTAACTTGTAAAGTGGCAAGTACTTATATGGGATCGCCAAATTACTCCAAAGCACGTCTCTTGGTTCTGGAGCGAATTCTGTTATCCAGGCGAGAGGATTCGAAATTTGCTGAGTTTGAGCTGCTAAAGCAGCACCCCACCGTGATTTGAACGTCACAAAAGCGACCGGCAACTCCTGAGAAAATGGAAGGAAACATTTTTATTACAGTCCATGTGGTAATGTTGTCAAACGAGGTATCTTACCTTGGCCTTAAGTAGTTCTTTACTTTGTGTTTTCCGTATTCTACAGCTAAGTTCTTGAAGCTGTTCCTTCAGTTTCTCGATCCTCTCCTCATTTTTCTGTGATTCAGACAGAGAAATATTTCCATCACGGTTTCTGACTCGGGCATGACGCCTCAAGTTTTCAATCTTTTGTGATACAGACTTGGACTGGCTCTGCATATGATTCAAGAAAAATAGGATCAAAGAGTACCGATACTAAAAAAGCATATAAAGGTCATTGACTGTAACTTTACCAACAAGTTTTCCAGTTCCTTTCCATCGTAGAGGATTTGATAAGACTGATACGAATGAGGATGATATTTTGAAAAGAAGTGAGCTACGGCACAATCATGCGCATTATGCTCATCACACAGTGGAACTTCTCTAACTAATACGGTGAACTGATTCGGCTGATGCCTCAAGCTCTGCAGCTGGCGAATCCTTTTTCGCAAAATATCATCATATTGCTGTGCATCAAATTCCCAAAATATAACCAACATCATGAACTTAAATCACAATCGGAGTAGTAGTCGAGAGTTTTTGTATAGAATGTTTTTGTTAGGATTAGAAAAGATAATTCTTGAGGTGGATTGGTTCAAATGTCATGATATACTAGATCAAATGTAAGTATCCACTGGCATGGTAGTCTTTTGTATGAGCTTATATTAGATTTTTTGGTCTAAGGTGGATTTCTTTGAACGTAATCGAATTCAAACGATACCAGATACAAGCAAAACAATTAATAGTTCCACATTGTGGCATCTGAGTGATCTGTGGGTGATTGGTGTTACTATCTTCAACTTTTGTGGAACTTTTTGCAAATCAATACCAATTGTAATGTGTGTGATAGAAGTTATACATATATGAGGAAAACGATTACCTTATATAGCAGGAATAATCCATAAAAGGAGACCAAATACAAGCATAAACAGTGCACCCACAACCTGTTGAAACACGAATTAATCAGACAAGCATAAACTGCATATGGCAAGTTATTCGAAACTAAAAGGGAAGGCTTAAAAAGGCCGATTCGGTGATTTTACAGCTATGAATGATGATTAGAAATAACTTTGATCATGCTGGGAAATCATCTTATAGAGTAATCTAGAAGACAACTAAATCAATTGGAATTGGAACAATGCGGCAAATCATAATTTGAGACGCTACCAAGAGCTTTACCAGTTAGATCCACTCTTAATGTTTGATATTGTGAATGCGTCCATGGAATGAGAGCTTCTTGACGACGAACCGCCAATGCCCATGAAATAATTAAGGGGAAGCAGCAGCAGTAATCCAACTACAGAGCAAACCAAAAAGAAATTGATCCTGCAATGATACTTCATATATGGAATAAAATGCGTCGACTGCTTCCCAACTAATAAGAATCACTCCTCTCCTGTTTAGGAATGTTTTTCCAGACAACAAATCAACGGCACACAATCTTTACAAATAATGCATAATATGTTTCCATGGCTAGTAATAGCACAAACTTCATAAAGAAAATAGAAATGAAAGCAATCAATTTTCGAACACAGGATTTCATCCACACACAGATGGTCCTTACATATAAAACCATTATCTATATACCTATGTGGATTCAGTAACAGCCCTTCCATTTATTCCAGCATGTTTGCAGATTTAAATAACTACAAGACAAATAGCGGCAACATATCAAAAGCAGAGAGAACACATTTTAATTTTACCCAAATTTGACGAGCTTGATCAAAACAAGCACATCAAGGCCCCATTCTTCAAGGACTTCATCTTCGGATACATGGCGGGAGCCAGGAATCCAACCGAAGGATGGGACATATCGAAGAAGGGAATGAGAGTGATCGAATTGGAGGATCCCATCAATCGAGATCCAACGAGGAAAGTATATATGGGCTTTGGAAGGCAGCTTTCGGAAGATGGAGTAGAGTGACAGAATGATAAAAGCAAATCCAATGTTTATGGCCACAGATGCCAGCAGGGGGTTACCTTCCATGTCTGTTTCTACACAGAGCAACAGTGGATCTGAGGAATGGATGGATGAGGCACATACTCAGGGACATCAATTAATGCAACATCGAAAAAAGAGAACGATAGAGGCTTAGCTACATTACATGGGCGCGGCAAAATGCATTGATTGATCTCCAAGATGCATCACCAAGAAATGCAATAATTAAGGAGGGAAGGATGACCGAGTAAAAGGTATCTTATTGTCTAAAGATGGAAGGCTACCAATTCTCCACCAAGGAGAGAGTGATTCTTCTTCTAATCCAAACCATTCTATACTATAATTAACACAAGAACAGATTTCAATCCAAATTCAAATCAATTATCCGGTGTGAGATACAGAATGTTTGTAAACCCTAAGCACTTCGTTGAATTTCATATTGAAATACACATATATATAGATTACCCGAACTTGAATAGTCGAACGAAGATCAAGACGTCCAGACCAGAGGCGTCGAGAATTTCGTCCTCGGTGAGGGCGAGGGAGTTGCGGATCCAGGAGAGCGAGGGCAGCAGCATGAGGCGGGGTGCGGAGAGGTGGTAGTGCTGAGAGATGCGGCGAGCGTGGTATATGTGAAAGTAAGAAGGCAAATTTCTCAGAATTGAGAAGAGCGTGAGTAGGATTAGAGCTAACCCTATGTTGATCGAAGCTGAAACCGCCAATCCCGCTGCATCCATCTCCCTTCCTGCAAATTGAATCTATCGACCTCACACACTCACTATATCTATATATATGATGAAGAAATTCAAACTGCCACTGTCAGTGGCGGTGATAAACGTGGCGGAGTTGCAGAGAGGCCATTGCTGCATGCAATTTTGGCGCTTTCTCGCCATTTCCGCAACTGATATTCGGGTCGGGTTAAAAACTGATATTCGGGTCGGGTTAGCCTTTACCCATTTCCAGGGCCAATTGCTCCACAGCCTCCTATTTCACTTTATCTGATTTCCCTTCTTCCATTTCAATTTCCGCCGCGAGACTTTCTTCCTCGGCCGGCGGCTCCGCCTCTCTTCTTCGTCTTCTTCGCGAGTCCACGCTGGCATCGTCCCCTCCGAACTACAGTTGCGTCAATTTTTGTAAGTTCAATTCTCCCCTTCCGTTTAATCTTTTTTATAATCGATACTGAAGTGCGAGAATCAAAAGTGTTTTTTTGCTGTTCTGTTATTGCAATTCGATAGATAAGAGCATGAGAATCTTACAAGAAGCAATTTTGAGTTCGAAGATTTCGATTCGATAGAGAGGCGAGTGTGAGTATCTTTCGACCATTTGCTACTGTAGGCCAAAAGTGTGTTATGCATTCAGCTGTGATATCCACTACTAGCATTGCCATAAAAATGCCTTTGAAATGAATTTGATAATCTGTGTAGCTGCATAGTTGGTGTTTCAGAGACTCAAAGTTCGTCCAAAGTGATGGAATTTAGTATTTCTTAGAATCGAATTAGAATTATATCAGTTTAGGATTTTGTCTTTTGAAGAAGGCGGCTCTTACAATGCTTATGGTAGTTGATCGGCACCGTTGTACTGTCAACGCAACAAGATAATAGTTCACACAGGACATACAATGAGAATCTATATAACGCATGTTAGTAGTATATCAAACTATGTAATCAAACAATTTTGTCTGTTGTCAGCTCAGAATTGATTGAGATTCAATCTTAATAAGCACTGTAACCGTTATGCGAAAATTGATAGATGAATAAGCTCGGCATGCCCAGAATTATATTAGTGAGATATACATATAAATCTTTTGTTCTAGTTGTAATTCTTGGTTGTTTACTGAATAAAATGCTTGCCATTTTTGTGATCTTTCCCACATTTGTTCTTCTTTTGTTTTTTGTGCACTTTCTGTGTTATTTCGCCGTTATTATTGCCTTCTTTGTGAAATAGTGGGATTAAAGCGAAAATGTGGTTTGGGTGCAATGTTATTTGGACTGAAAGTTTGGACATACTCTAGATTCAATAGTGTGAAAATGCAAACGAAAAACACAATTAAACATCTTATTCTATCCGTATCTGATTGATTTGCTTTGGCTGAAATCATACAATGAATGTAATCTATTTTTCTGCTACCATTGCCATTGTTCATTACTCTCATCTCTTCACTCTATGCAGGGTTCTGCAAATGCTACAATCGTCCCCTCTGACTATATTCTCTATTAAAGAGTACGTCATAATTGGCTATTCATTTCTTTACAAACGAGTGATGCAGATCCTTCTAAACTTGTGATCCGTTGCTTATTGAATAATTTTTCATTTTTTTTGCATACTGTCGATTTTGCCTACTAGTTAATACACATTTCATTTGTTTCAATGTATTGAGGATTGATTACTATTATATAGAATTATTTCTTCTGTATAATACTAATCGATGGCTTTACGGTTAGTTTGAGGATTTATTAGAAGCATTAGTTGTTAACTTAGCAGATCTTACTTGCATTTGTCTTCTTTTTTTTGTTTTATTTTGTTTTGTTTTTTTTTTTTATGGGTGTGCTGGCTTTGATTTAAATTTAAATTTATTTGTTAAGATTAAGGATTCATTTTACTATTGAGTAAATAGTAAAAGTGTATACTAAGACAGGAAAGAAGGAAAGAAACAACACATAATGTCTGGGAACGACGAAGAAGATAGAGCAAAGAATGGTGAAGATGAAGCTTTTCAAAACTCATCGAGCTCCATAAAAATTTGCAAAGGCAACCTCATCACCGCAGCGAGCGACGACAATCTCAATCAAGTCTTTCGCCAGATCAAATCTTCAAAATCTCCCGTAAGCGCGCACACTCAATATTCCTCTTCAAAATCGCCATTCCCGACCCTATTAATGCTTTGAATTCTATATGACTTGCAGACAGTCATCAACTACGGGGCATCATGGTACGTACGTACATACGTTGTTAAGTTTTACATGTATACAATCATCGTATTTGATTTCTTGGGTTCTTACAGGTGCGGCGTTTGCAGCCAGATACTGCCTGCATTTTGTCGGTTGTGCAACGAGTTCCCTAAGCTATCGTTCGTGTACGCTGATATCGACAAATGTCCGGAGACTACGCAGCGCATCCGGTACACGCCGACGTTCCAATTTTATAGAGACGGCGAACGGGTCGACGAGATGTTCGGCGGCGGAGAAGAGCGCCTTCGTGATCGGGTTTGGCTTCATTCTTAACTTGTTCGATTATTTTTTCTTATCATCAAATTAGAATAAATTCTAGCCTAGTAATTTTAGATTTAATCTTATAGAGAACTAAAATGGTAAGAAGATAAGTTACGAAAGATTAAAATTTGGATTGTTGTAAGTTTAAAGGTAAGGTGAAAAAAAAAAAATCTATCAAAACTGCATGATTGTACAAATTTATTTTTGACCTTTTTTTCATCCATATTGATAATTTATAATAACAATTTTATAGCACATGTTAGAAACATGATCCAAAGGGCCTTTGGGATTTATAAAAATTAAAAAATAATAATATTTTATTAGTTAACGAAATTAAGAGATTGATATTATTGGTAAAATGTAATTATATGTGCAATGGGATGTTTAGGTGTGTTTGCTTGTAAGATTTTGATTTTTGGTTTTGGTTTTGGTTTTAAATAGTAAAATTTTGAATTAAAATAGTGGTTTGATGTGATATAAATATGTATTAATGTGATATTTTGATGCATAATAAATAAAATAAGTATTTGATTTGATTTTTTTTTAAAAAAAACATAGAGTTGAATAGTAAAATTAGATGACAAATTGTACAAGTAAATATACCATTTGTAATTTAGATAAAAATTAACTGTATTTTGATATTGATTTATATTTATTTTTATTAAAATAAAAAAGTAATACTTTTAGGGTGTGTTCGTTTGATGGATTTGGATTAAATTCCACTATTCATCCAAAATTTCCCCTCCCCCCCCCCCCCCCCAAAAAAAACATTAAATCAAACACTTATTTTTCATTTTTTATATTATACTAAAAATCAATTTTACATTCAAAACATCACATCATCACCTATTTATATCACATCATACAACTATTCAAATTCAAAAATTTTACTATTCAAATCCCAACTCAAAATTCAAACCCCCAACAAACACACAATTATTGGGATAGAAAATACTCATTTGATTAGTCAGAATACTCATGTGCTTTTCTCAATTAATAATTTATATATTTATTTTTATTGTTTTTATATCCCCACCTTAGTAGTCATGTGCTTTTCTCAATTAATAATTTATATATTTATTTTTATTATAGGTTGTGTTTACTTGTGAGATTTGTTTTTCTATTTTACTATTTTAATTTTTTTTTCAAAAAATATCAAATAAAATACCTATTATTTATTTATTATATTATGCTAAAATTAAATTTTACATTCAAAATATCACATCAATACATATTTATATCGTATCAAACAACTATTTCAATTCAAAATTTTACTATTTAAAACCAAAATCTAAACCTTAGATAGCTATTGTATATTTGAAAGAGGTTGACGTCCTTGCTTCTCTCATGTACACGCCGAGCCCCAAATTTGTGCGGTATTTATATATATATGATCAGCTGTGTATTATAGTATTGTAGGGAGAGTACATACAATGCTACCAAAGAACAGTAACGAGACAATAGTGAATTTGTTTTTATTACTCTCTCCGTCTCAATCTAATGAGACTTTTTTGGGGGTTTTTTTTAGTAGATTATAAACTAGTAGTTCTTTTGTTTCAATACAATAGTCTTATTTATCATTTTTTTCGTCTTAAAACAATAGTCTTATTTCTACAAATAACCATATCACCATAAAATTATTTCTACTTTTTATTTTTATTACACAATTGTCACTATTTTTTACATTAATATATTCACAAGGGCTAAAAAGTCTTTTATCTATATTTTTTACCAACTACCAATATAATATCAATATTCCTTAAATCTCGTGTCCAACCCAATTAAAACTATATTTTTGGGACGGAGGGAGTAGTATTTTATTAATCGGTAGAAGTGTGTAAGAAGTGTATAACTTTAGTTCTAAAATACTTAATAATTTTTATAGTTACAAACAATAGAATAACACTTTTCAATACAATCTTCATGTTGCTAACTTAAAAATAGGGTAAATTATATAACATTCCCCTGTGTTTTAGTAAAATTATACAAAATTCTTATTTTATTTATTGCCTGAAACCTTTACTTTAATATAAAGTTTGCACAAAACATCTTTTCTGTCGAAAACGGATGTTTGGGTCTAAATAAAGACTTAAATTACACAAGTTTTATACAAATAAAAAATATTTTAAATATTTTTTTAAATAAAATAAATAAATATTAATTAATTAATCCTTTATTTTATAATTTTTTGGAGACAAATTATTTTTTGATTTTTATAAAAACTATAAAAAATATTGTTGATCAATTATTTATTTATTTATTTTATTCAAAAAATTATTTAAGATACTTTACATTTTCTTTTTAATAAAACTTGTTTAATTTAAGTCTTTATTTAGAATTAAATATAAATTTTGGACAAAGAAATAAGGTGTTTTGTGCAGACTTTATATTAAGATAAGATCATGCAATAAATAAAATACAAGGTATTTTGTGTTTTTTAATTCAATTATTTTTACAAAACATTAATTATTTTTATCATATTCACCAAAAATAGAACTATATTAAAGAATAATAATTTATCCTTCCCATTCTCTCATTGTTTAAGAGGGATTTTCACTTATCATAACATTAGTGTTCATCTCGTTGTCTTTTCATTTGATTCTTAAGATTTGATTTCAAAATCCAAAATTTTTATTATTACTCCAAACCTTCTGTTGTGTGCAGAATCACAAAAGAAATTATGTGCATCAAAAGATTTTTGAAAGATCATACTTAGCATACTCGTTGTGCATAACATAAAAAAATAATAGTAATAATAATAATAATAATAATAAAAATAATAACTACTTATTCTTATAATTTCACGACCGTTGAGAACACATCGTGTAGTGAGAGACAAAAAAAAAAAAAAAAAAACTACAAACATCACACATATTCGAAACAACTTGATTAACACGTGCTATTAGAGTTTTGTATCGATTTTTTTCTTTGATTTGCAATGAATTTTGGTAATTAGATTGCAATAAAAAAGGAATAAAAAAAATATAAAATAGAAAAACTGTGTAGAGATCACATAGAATGAGATATATAATTTTCATAATTACTATAACTTACTCTATTACAATTATACCTTAGTCTCCATCTCCACCGTTTGATTAAAAGGGTAATATGACAAATTATGGCTAATCAGCACGATGTTGATTAACCATAATCAACATGTAACCAATGGTTTTTTATTACAGTAAAAAAGAATCACACACTAATATATAAATTATGATATACTACTCTATGTATAACATGTAAATTATACATTTATCAAAAAAAAAATAAAAATTGTACACTTTTATTTATCAATAAAAAAGTTTATAATTATTTCCAATCTATTGAAAAAAATAAATATTTATCGTTTACTCGGATGAAGGCAGCATCACATAATAAACTGAGTAAAGATACAAAATATAAAGTGGTAAATTGAGAGATATATAGTTGGATTTTTATTTTCTTTTTTTTTTTAAAAAAAAAAGAAATATTATTTGATTTAAAATAAAATTTGTTTTAAAAACTATAATATATCACATATGGACGATATTTTATAAAGAATAAAATTTTATATAATACAAATAAATCAAATATTTTTTAAATAAATAATTAACATAAATTAGCTTATAAAAGATAATTTTTTAAAAATATATATATTAATATATTTAATTTAGAAATGAGTCGAAAATTAAAAAAAAAAAATACAAATAAATCTCACCTTAATAAAGTGAGAAATAATTAAAATAAAAGTTATGAATGTAATTCGAACGCGAGTTTTAAGTGACATATAAGACGAGTGTTGAAATGCATAAAATTCAAACAAATAACACATAAATTATGAACCAACAATATAATATAAAGTTTATCTTAATATAATAGCAGCATATGAATTTACCTCACAATATAATATATATCACTATTATATGTGTATACAATATAGTCATAAAATATGACACTCAACAATGTATACAACATATATAGTTAGGGATAGCAATGGGTCCGGGTAGACCCGAGACCTGACCCGGACCCGACCCATTTATTTGGGGTTGGGTTCAAATATTCGGGTCTAAGGTCGGGTCTGGGTGTGGATAAAAAAAAAAAAAATTTAAGGGTCAGGTCGGGTCCAGGGTCCGAGCATGGATCCGACTCATACCTGAACCCGGACCCAACCCGCCATTTAATTAAAAAAAAAATTGAATTATATTGTATTTTTTCTCATAAAACCTAGCACCGCAGCCTCCTCCCCTCTTTTTTTCCTCACGCAGCCCTCCCTTCTTTTATTTTCACAACATCCCCTCCCCACGCGCGCAGGCAGGACACCATCACAGCAACAAGTTCTTGGTCGATTTCTTCCGTCTTCTTCGTCTGATCCATTCTCCAATTCAATTTTTCATCATTAAGCACTGTTGTTGCTCATTATTTGTTGCTATTTTTTTATAATTGTTTGAAAAAAATAGATAATTGTTTAGGCGGGTTGGGTCCGGATCCTATTTATATTTAAAATTCTGAAACTATCGGGTCTATCGGGTCCAATCGGGTAGTTTCGGGCCAAATCCAGGTCCAATAGGGTCTAATCCGAGTCCTGGGTCCATATATATTTCCGGGTCGGTCTTGGGTCGGGTCAGACCCGACCCGTTGCCATCCCTATATATAGTATCAATTTATACGCGGAGTAGGACTCACTAACCATTCCCAACCAAACACACAACGATAATTAGAATGGTCGAAATCATCAAACAAACAAAGATAATTAGAATGGTCGAAATCATATGTATTAAATCTCTAATAAATTTAATCTAAAATCTTTGGCGTGATAAATGATGATAAGTTTTTAATAAATAGTTAGGTATGATGAAATTATATTACCATTACTATTATTATTAAGGTAAACGGTTTTTTTAGTCCGTAACTGAATCCCCTTATCATTTTAGTCCCGTAAATGGAGTCCGTCGCAAACTAGTCCCATAAGTGAAAAATTTTTGTTGTTTTAGTCCTCCGACGCCGGAGACGCCCACATGGCTCGCCGGAAGCCAGGTGTCCGCCAGGTGTCCCGCCAGTCCAATTGAAAAATAAAAATTAAAAAATTAAAAAAAAAAATTAAAAATCCACGTGTCCGCCAGGTAATTTTTTTTTCATTTTTTATTTTTATTTTCAATTGGACTAAATAAAAAAATTAAAAAAGACAAATAAAATTTAAAATAAATTTAAAAAATCAAAAAATTAAAAAATGAAAGAAAAAAAAAAAATCTGTCCACCGTGTGTCGCTGACCTGGTGGACACGTGGCCTCC